CTGCCACACCGATGCTGTCAGCAGCCCTGGCACCCAGCTGGAGAGGGCCAAGGAGGACTGAGGCAGTGGGAGAGGAAGGTTAGGTCATGCTCAGAGGATTAGGATGTTTAGGGGAGCACATGAAAGTACCTGTGTCTCACTGCAATCCAAGCCTGGTGCGTTCATTTAAGGACTTTGCTGACAAACTGTTTAGTCACAGCGCTGGTCTACTAACTGAAGAATGCAAGAACAGCCACTTACAAGAAAATTTAAAATGAAAATATATGAGTGCAATGCACAAGAGGGATATACTTTCCTATATTAAATTCCTTGCTCCCTGTAAAGATGTGCCAATCTCTTCAGAGCAGCGTTTTTGTGCACGTTGGTATTACTTTGTTAGGTCATTTTGGTCGTGAGGAATTTGTTATTTTGGAAAATGTGCAATGCTTGGTGAAGCCACGGAAAACATCTCATATTTTGAATCAGATAAGCAGAAGGAACTAGGAGCTGAACTGGTGCTAAAGCTTTGTAATTAAATTCAGATTGACAGTGCAGAAACATGAACAAAAGTGCGATTGACTTTTAGTGCTAATTAATCTTCTGATGCATATTAACATATCCTGATTAGTTTAATGTTGACGAGATATATTGATAATTAAAAGGAAATTGCTAGGAACAAAATATGAAAACGTGGAAATTTCACATAGGGGCAGGAAAATCCCAGTGTTCCATGGTGCCATCTGAAAACTGCTTGCAAAGGTACTTGGAGCTTGTCAGTGACCTGGCCAGCTCTCCCGATGAGGAATGCTTTTCCAAAAATATTAAGAGGCATATTTAAACTCCTGTAGCAAATTAAGTTTCACACAGCTCCTCAGAGAAGCTGCAGCCTGCACTTCTAAAGGTAAAACTGCTGTCCTGTACAGATTAAACCCCCCCAAATCACAAAATGAGGGAGGGGAAGGGGAAGGAGGAATGAGGGTTGGGGCTGGAGGCTGAGCAGAGGTGGGGGCTGAGCAGGAGACTTCTCATGCAGCTGATGGTGTTGTCTCTGTGGACCTGTCTGTAGGGTGGGTCACTTGGTTAAAGCATTTCTTGTCTCATGCTCTCTTCTGTCTGTTTTTTTTTCCTGCATGTCATTTGGGTATGAGATTTAAAGAGCAGCTGGTCACTGCCAAAAGAAACCAAGGTTGCTGCTGAGTGTGGAAGGTGGTAAAGGAATACGAATAAATTGCCATGTTGAATCAGATCTGTCATCTCTGCAGTCCAGCAGTTTCCACCAGTGACCAGTATCTGAAAAAAGGCATTGGGAAGGTGCAGGATTAAGCTACCAGCACATGGTAGCAATCCTTCCAGACTAGAGACCAGCTTAAGCCCCAATGCCTGAACTTTAACTTTTCCAAAATGCCTTCCTTGTAGCAATGTACTATGGTTTATTCTTTATATTTTTATTGAAATACTTGTATCTTCCTTTTTTTTTTTTTACCTACTAGGCATTTGAGAAAAGCAAATTCGTTGTCGCTCCAGAAATGTTCATAACTTTCATTCCAAGCTGGATATAAAATGTTAATTGCTTTACTGCAAATCCATAACTGACATCTTGACTCTTCTTCAGTTGAAGGATCTGTGGTTAAACATTCACCTGAAGCTAACATTTCTGTTCCATTACAGTTATAATTCTAGTGTCCACAATTCATTTTCAGTTACAGATAACTGGCAGGATTGACATATTGATCTTAAACTTTTTTTTTTTTAAGTCTCTCTTTGCTTTTTGTTGTCATACCACGTTTGTGGAATAAGCAGAGAAACATTCTCAAAATTCACTATCAATAGCAAGAAACTTGTGATTTTTATATCACCATTGCAAGGGACTTGTGATTTTTATATCAGCATCATGGGCAAAACAACCTCAAAGTGGGGATGTTAATTAAATTTATTACTAACAGGATCAGAGCAGGAGACTGAGAAGTAAAATAATCTTAAAAACACCTTCCCCCCACCCCTCCTTCCTTCCAAGTTCTACCTCCTCCCTCCAGTGGTGCAGGGAGACAGGGAACAGGGGTTATGGTCAGTTGTTGTTTCTGCAGCTGTCAGGGAGAGAACTTGAGATTTATTTTAAGGCCCCATTGACTGAAGATTAAAACTGTAGAAATTGTTTGATTTTTTAGCAATGAGGTTTCCTGAGCTGTGATAGCACAGTGTTTTCTACATGCTTTGAGTCTGCTGATGTAAGAAATGGTGCAAACACAAAAGTTGATTTAATGGCATTTTGGTGAATGACACTAGTTTTGGTAAACCTTTATCAGCTCATTATGGTGGATTTCCCATGGATGTTCTAATTGGCTTTTGGGCAGCATTCCCTAGTGGTTTTGGGGGAGGAGAGGAGAAGGACCCCATGGACTGGTGTGGCTGGGAGGGGATGGCAGCTTGATACTGCTTTTGCCCTGACCTTGGGAAATCTGGAAGATAAGAACTTTGATAGTCCCTTGATATTGGTGTCTTGCTGTAATTTCCTTGAGGCAGCTGTTCATTCAGCAGAACGTGGTGCTTTGCAGCCCTCAGGTCAGAAAACTTTTATTTTGTTCAGAGATACTCTAAAGTGTATCATTCCAACGTAACTGTGAGCAGTTTGCTTCCCTAGTAGGTGGAAATGGAGTTTGGGAAGAGAGGGAGAGCAGAGTAACTTTGACTTCTCTTTCTGTGTTTTAGGTAATGTTAAAGCAAAAGTGGATGGGTAGATGCTGGACTTGGGGAGGTGTGAAGGTTCAGGAGTTTCATGCATAGCAGTAAAAAGTCAGTTTTCCTTTTAATAGCTTGATTTAAAACAGGTCCGAGCTGTAGCCATGGCAAGTAATTGCATTGCCCTGTAATTTTGCACAATTTTGTTAAAAGTTTCCTGTTCTACATAGTCTGTTGTGATGGAAGTCTCAAAAACAGTGAATGGTTGACAGCAGACCATGGAATTAACAACATACCTTCAAGCCTCTGAACAAAAATATGTTCTCTTTTATGAAAACTTATAAACTGACAAAAACCTTTCAGGTAAGGATAGGATTTTAAATACAGAATTTATTGTTGTAAGATTTTATTGAGGCAAAAAATGCATAAACCTGTGAAAAATAAAGAGATATTTTACATGGGTAACTCAATGTTAATAACTCTTCCAAATTTACATTAAGCATTCCACATCAAGGCTTAAGGCAATCCCCAACTCTGGGAGATTAAGTGGTTTCTTGCACCTTTCTCTGAAGCATCTGGCATTAGACTGTGTAGGAGACAGGATATTGGATTTAAAAAAGCACCCAGCCTCATCTGCTGAGGCAGTTTCTGTGTTAAAATACTCCCTGTCAATTGTGACCTGGGCAAAATGATGACACTCTCTTTTTCAACTGTTAAAGGAACCTGAGGCCCAGCCTCTGCATCAGAAGTTTTAAGAGCCAATGAGTCATTATTCCCAAGAATCCTTCCCTTAGTGGCGTTCCTGAGCTCCTCGGTGGAATCGTGCCCGGACCCTGTGGTCTGGCTGATCAGCTGTGGCTTTGAGTGTGCTGGGCTTCCATGTGCTTGTTGGCATCCTGCAGCCAAGCAAAGGGTGCCACTTCACTGGGCAGAGAGGTGCCCAGAGTCCCTTCCTCTGTGCCAGCAATTTGTCATACATGCTGGTCTGTAAAGGGTGGATCTTGATTTGTTATGGGGAAAAAAAGATGGTGTATTTGAGAAGCTGGCATGATTTTTGTTATCCCTTTAACATTTATGGAGATCTTGGGTATTAGGCTTTTAAGCTGCTTTGTTGAAACTCATTTGACAAGGACTTGCACAGATGGTGCTTTACTTTCTGTCGGAAATGTGTTGCTTTTTATTTCCCTTGGGTCATCTTGGTGAATCTGGCTAGAATTTCTTCAATGGACATTTGCTTATCTGAAATAAAATTTAGTCTGATAGGAGCAATATCTGGGTGTCTTCAATCATAGACAGAGCTAGCATATTTGATCAGCTGTTTCAGCCTTGGTATAGACAGTAGTTTCTGTGCTATTAATATGCCTGCTCTAATATACAGAAGTAATAAAATACTGAAATCTGTTTCTCTTCAAAGCAGATTTTTTTTTTCCTGCACTGACAGTATTTTTTCTGAAGAGCTGTCAAAAGATGATCAATTGAAAATGCATGATTAGACAAGGAGTTTGAGATGCAGCTCTGTCCTTGACCTGGCCTGATATTAATGTCAACCATGAAAACTTGCCACATGGGCAGTGGCATCCCAAAAAGATCTCGTGGCACCTGAAAGCTCCAAACAGGCCTTGGGTTGGATTGTGGCGAATGCATGTGCAGCACTTAAAAGATGTCATTTGTAATCTCATTGATTTTGGCCCATCTGCCAGGCAGTGTGTTACAAATAAAACTGCTGAAAGTGGTCAGCTCTGCTCTCCATCTGCCAGGGGCTGTGGGAAGGAGCTCACCCATGGGAAGGAGCTCGCCCTGGTCCCCGCAGCAGGGTTCCCCACATGTGGGCTGCTGCGGGGACCGGCACCTACAAGTGTTTCCAGCAAAATAAAAACCCCCAAAAAAGAAGCCAGGAGAAGGCAAAATAATGCCAGTGTCAGGTCTAGGCAGAGCCAGACTGTGCTGAAGGTGTTGGATCAGTGACCTGCCTCCAAGTGCCTTTGCTGGCACGCTGCTGGGGATGGCACTTGGAGCAGGGAGTGCAGCCGGCTGCTCCCGCTGACCTACTTCAGCCAGCGTGACCCCGCGGGCTTAGCCTGGTTCTGCAGCAGCCCTGCTGACCCCGGCTGGGAGGGGGCTGTAATCCTCAGCCATGAGCAGCTGCAGGGAGCTGTGTCAGGGCGAGTCAGCGTGGGACAGGCTGCTAATACCGGCTGTGTTCGCAGGGATTCCGGTTTTGCAGAGGCGAGTCTGACCCTGCCATAGAGAACACGTGTGTGCAGCAGTGCCTGGTCATCTTGCAGTCATCTGGTTGAAAACCAGTCTTGTTTTAACAGTCAGTACATGGTTGTTCCCTCCCACAGAGGTTCTATGTGAGCATTCTGTGCATCACAAAACACCTTGGATTTTGGATAATGGATAATTCAGGTGCTGCGGTTTATTTTCACGAGCCCAGTGTTGGCCACTTAATAGCATTTGGAGGTCTGATCCCAGAAGAGGAGAGTGTAGGAAAAGGTTACATTCCTTTGCATCAAAGAAATGTATGAGGGTAAACATTTTCAACCATTAAAAACTGAAGTTACTTATGCAAACTTCTAGGTTTACTAATAAAAGATGTGTTCTCTCTGACTGTCCTCTAGGCTTTTGGACAGGCCCATACCAACCACAAGAAGGTAGCAGCAGATGGAGAGAGCAGAGAGGAGACCTTGATCCAGGAATCAGCTACCAAAGAAGAATACTACATGAAGAAGGTTATGGAGTTGCAGACAGAACTGAAGCAGATCAGAAATGTCCTTGCCAACACACAGTCCGAAAACGAACGCCTTAATTCCGTCTCGCAGGAACTGAAGGAGGTGAGTGAAGGTGTGAAGGGGTGCACCACAGCTTGCATTGTTACATTTTCACAAAAAAAAAGGAAAATTCTTGAGCTGAAAGGTGATTTGACAGACACGTGGCTGCTTGTTTTAGCAATGCTGGTAGTGTGGATACTGCACATCAGTTCCCTCAGTCCCAGAACTGCTGCCTTAAAAAGCAGAGGAACCTGTTTAGGCCAAGCACAGGGATCCTTGGAGGTACTTTTTCTGCCTCCCTCCCAGTGCAGATTTTCTTGCTGCAGAATGTTTGTGGTATAATTTCCCTTTATATCAGTTTTTCCACCCTAACTTCTGAGAGTGTGGGATCATAGCAAAACACTGAATTGCATAAAGAGACTGATAGTAAAGTTTATAGTCTTGTGTTTTCTCTCATAAAGTGACAACTTTTACATAGGTTGCTTAACTTACTACCTCAGAGTAGCTTTGACCTTTTTTTTTTGTTTTCCTACTGAAACCTCATATTTTTAAGGGGAAATAATCGCTAAGAAATTGAGTTATAAAGTTTAATGACTTAAAAAATCTGTAACTCAGCACAAGTCACTGTGGCACTGGTGCAGAAAAGATTGTTTTGAGAGCTCAAACCATTGCTTCAGTTCAGAGTGGTAAAAGAGACTGTAAACCACAGATGGATGGATTAAACAGTCAGCAATTATTACTCCTGAGCTTTCTTGCACCTTCCTTTGAAGCACTGGGGACTAGTCTGGTCTAGTCCTGAGCTAATTGACTGGGCTCCCCTGCCCTGAGGGGAGGTTATCCAAGAGTCTGAATCTCAACTTACTCCACGTGAGCACAGCTGGAAGTGTCTCATGTAATTTCTTCTTTGTATAGTAACAAACACATGGATAATATTTGGTGATAAAACAAGAGAGGAAATGTGGGCTACTTCTGTGGAGATGTGGTGGCTCCCTAGTACCTCTCGTTGGGATATGACAGAGAAGATTCCTGGTGCAAACTGTCACAGGTGATCAAACAGGCCAGTCAACTTCTCCTTTAACTTCCTGGGCCCTGGCTGTGGGATAAGAGAACTGGAATCAGGCTTTGTCATTAGACAGGGAACCAGTTCCTGCAAACACACACAACTCTTGTCTATATTTCCTGACCTTTAAGACTAGCTTAACAGAAAACCCTCCCCCCCCAGAGGCAGCCTGGTGTCTCTGAGGGATTCCAGACCCTGCTCAAAGAGTGCTGAGCAGCAGAGTTCCAGTCTGCTCCCAGTGGCACTGCAGCTGGAGGTGATGTTTCCTTCCAGATACTGCCACATTCCAGTCACCTTTGCTGGGAGCTACATTTTGCTTTATGCAGCCCTGAGATGAGCCATTTGCAAGGTTTTAAAGTAGGTTTTGTCTTGTGCTTTGTCCTTCCACCTCCCCCATACAGCCTTTTGCACAAAGACCCCAGTGAGGATGGAAGAGTGCAGGAAGAGGAGAAGTGGGTGATGGCAGGTTTCTTGAGAAGATTCTGATTTTTTTTTTTAAGCTTCTCTCTGTTGAAGGGGGGAAGAGGCATTTAGTCACTTGACTAGACATAAAGGCTGATGATAGTTTAACTGACTGTGACTGATTCCAAACTTTGAATGAAAACTGAGCTCAGTTAAAGAAAAATAAAAATCAAAATATAATGTGATGAACATGCAGTCAGGGGTTCCTCTGCCTGTTGCATTGTGTCATGGTGCTACATGTATTCATGCTCCTTTTTAGCCTCACTGTTTCTGCTCCTGCCAGTAAACTGGGGTGGGGCAAAGGGGCGAGAAGGAAAAAATGAGTGGCATGAAAGCTTTAGTGTTAAAATGAAAACATCTGGACCAGTTGACCATGTGTGGTTTGGGATTCTTTTCCTCTGAAGATGCCCCATTTGAGTGTTGCATTCTGTTTTGATTTGCCTTTTATAATTACTGGTAGGGAACAGTGAGGCAGGGTGTGTGAACAGAACCTGTATTGGCCTCCTCATGGCCCACAGAACAGCCAAGCAACGGGAGCAACTTGAGGGACTTGGCTTTTCTCATATGGTGCATCAGAAAGTGGTTCAAACAGTCACTGTTTCACCATTGCTGTCCACTAAGTGGAAGCAGGAGGGTATGCACAGGCCTCTTGTGATAATGTATAGGTCAAAAAGTGAATTTAATTGGAAAGCTTTGTGTGAGAGAAGTCAAGGAGAACACATGGCTGTAGTAAGCTAGTTAGCAAGAAGAGCAGTGTGGTTTTCCTCAGTCCCTGGTGCCATGCTTAGCTTCAGCCTGTCTCCTGGTGAAAGTTTTATGTTGATATTAGTCCAAGGAGACAATGTGCTGGGAAAAAAGGCTGCTGCAGTCTGAAAGTGTTGGGGATGAAGGTGGAATATGATCTACTGTTTTATACTGCAGAGTGGAAATTCCTTCCTTCATTTTTTTCTGACTGCTGGCGAAAGAAAAATTACTGTAGCTCTTCTCCATCTTCTTGTAGAGAATGTTTGTGGACAGACCTAGTCTTTATTGTGTGTGTTTTGGAAGCCCTGTGTTAGTGCCTATCAAGAGCACTGACACGCAGGATGTCTGGGGGAACAGGAGACTTTACTTCCATTGCAACTGTTCTGGATTTGATCCAAGTAAGAGGGAGGATGTGGAAAGTGCTTGTCTGTGTGTCCTCTGGCCAGACAGAGGGCTCTTCCTGTCAAACCCTGAAGGAAGTTCAGAAGAAAGCAAAACAGAACCCCACAGGAAATACCCTACAGGAAATCAACTGAGGCTGAATCTCCGCTTCATTTTCAAGGGAGATTTACTTGTCAGGGCTGGCTGCAAACATTTTTATCTGCTGGTTTGTAGCTGTCTGACAGGATAACTTTACTGTTGTTAGGACTTTTTTGAAAGAATCTGTTCAGTCCTTAGTAGTGGCACAAGGAGGGTGGTCGAGTTCACCAGCTCCCCTTGAGATGCTCCTGGCAGCAGTGGTGGGTCGAAACAAGATGTTGGCCTACATCAGTTGGAAGCACATTGAAGCACATCATTCCTTTTGTGACCTCTCAGGACACTTGCACAGAAGCAAGGTGTTGTTTCTGGAAGGAGAAGAGTGATATTTGGCACACCTGGGGTTGCTGTAGCAGACACAAGTGATTTTGATGCCTTCTGTTGAATTATCCAACTGTGGCCTGTCCAGGCAGGCCCACGGGGTGGTTACCCAGGAAGAGTTTCAGTGCTGTTATTAACCAGCTCAGCAGCTCCTGTGTCCTGGAAGAGTCACTGGAAGGAGAAATTGTTAATTGCTATTCCTTTTTAGTCTGCTTTTGTCTCTACTGTGTTTTAGTGGCACCAAAACAGATTTCACAGGGTGATCGGGCTGTGAAGTCATGAGGTGGCTGTGGCCAAAACAGAGAAGCTGAAAAATAAAGGAGGGATTCTTTACCAGGAAAGGAAAAGGTGTTCTGATTATGTAAACTAAGGAAGGAAATATACTCTAATGTGTGTGCTTTTATATATGTCAAGAGAAATAGCTGACATGACATGGTACAATATAATATTAAACGGCATGTTTTAAACCCCCTCAAGTTATCAGCCACATATGTGCAATTTTCTCCCTCCAAAGTTGTAAGATGGAAGCTGTTTTTCTGAGGTTTGTTCCAAAGAAACTTTCTTGTTCTTCACTAACATCTAACAGGCTTTATCAAGAGAGTCTAGACCTGAAGGATAACAGGCACCATGCAGTTACCTGGCCTGCTGTGTGGAGGGGGCTCTCTCCCTTTTTTTTCCCCTGAACACAGACATACAGTTGTTTATCATGGGGGGTTCTTTCTTTGTTTTTAGCTGTAGAAAAATGGATACCCAGCACACAGACCTCTGTAAAGATCTATCAGTTTTACCCCTCCATCCTATTCCCTAAACCATGTCTCTAAGCACCACACCCACATGTTTTTTGAACACTTCCAGAGGCTGTGATTTCACCACTGCCCTGGGCAGCCTGTTCCAGTGTCTGACCAGCCTTTCAATGAAGAAAATTTTCATAGTATCCAATCTAGACCTCTCCTGGCACAACTTGACACCATTTCATCATGTCCTGATGCTTGTTATCTGGGAGAGGAGCCTGACCCCTACACAGCTATGACCTCCTGTCAGGGAGTTGTAGAGAGTGAGAAGGTTCCCCCTGAGCCTCCTTTTTGCCAGGCAGAGCCCCCCCAGCTCCCTCAGCGGCTCCTGATCAGACTTGAGCTCCAGACCCTTCCCCAGCTCCCTTCCCTTGTCTGGACACACTCCAGCTCCTCAAAGTCTTTATTGTCCTGAGGAGCCCAAGCTGAACACAAGTTTCAAGTGGAAGCAGATCATCAGTCACTGGAAGCATGAGATGTGCTGTCTTAAGTCAGGCCACTGGACCATGGCTGCCTTCCACATGCCTTCCACAAAATAATTGCTAGTAGTCATCTCTCCACATCCTTGGGCATGGAATCTGCAGGTCCTTGTATCAGCTTTCTGGGCCTTGCAGTTAAAATACTGCAAACAGAGGTGGGAGAGGTATTGCTGGGGGGCCTGGGACACAGTCTGTCCACAATATCTGACTGTTTAATTGCTAACAAGTATTTATTTTTTGGAGCCAGTGTTTTCTCCATGGTAGGCCATTAAGTTGTTTGTTAGACCTACCCTTCTCAGAGTGCTGATGGCTGAGAGTTCTTCTATAAACTGGTAACCCAATGGCTAAAGTTCTCTAGGTTTTCTCAACATGGTCAGGGAAGGAACAGTGTTCCTAAAGTTACGATTACAGGTCTCTCTCCCACGAGGATTTATAGCTAAGATACTGAATAGTCCTTTGTATTGCTTTCTGTTCCTCCCCCTTGAACACACTGATAACCCATCCAGGAACACGCCCAGCAGCTCTCCCCTGCAACCCAGCTGGGAAAAGCCTCCATGTTCTGCACTCCCTAAAAGTGCTATCAGGAGCCATGCTTAAAGAAGGCATGGGGTTTGTTCCAGCAGAGAATATATGGAAGCAACACTTTATTGTGCTGTAAATTGCACGCTG